TAAAACATATGGAAAACATAATTAATCGAAACATGTCCCAAATCCTAAATAGCAAATTTTACATGAAAATGAAAACTGGAATAGTGCTAAAAATAAAAGTCCATAGTCATATTACTCAGAATTTATTTATTTTGAATTCCACAATTTCTGGCACCACGATTGCACCGCCTCGCCTGCCAACCAACGATTCCCGTTCTAATTTGTGAGTAGGGAAAATGGTGAGTAAATGGAAATACTCGGTCGGATACAAATATTTATGGTGCAATCTGGAGTAAAAATTTTAAAACATGTATCAAAAAAATCATATTGTCTCATATCTTTAAAAATCGGTAAGAGTTCATATCATATCATTTGTACTGGAATGGCCATATCATTCATATCATAGCATATCGTATCATATCTTTAGCTTTCATGAGTACAATAATTTATTAACATGAAAAAAAATTAAATGGAATAGAATACACTGTATCTCGATATCCTACCTCGTGAGATAAATCAGTTTTTGAAAGACAAAATACAAATTCACGTTCCAAACTTATTTTTTGGTATTTATTGCTGCTACCACTGTAAATGGGTATCTAAATTTTCTAGGATAAATAATAAAAACTTTTTATGGTATTTAAAGGTGAAAGAGATATTGAATTTTAGCAGGCCTAAAAGTCTGCCAAAAGCTGTGTTTTTCCTGTAAAGAGTCTCAATTCCATACAATAATTATTTCTTCTCTATCTAATCAACACATGGTAGTCTTATCACTATCTTATCCCAAAAATCTAGGCAAATAAATCATTTTAAAATAAAACTACCTATCTATGATTTAAGATATACGTGCACTCACCCCCAACAGATTCAAAATCAAAATAAACCACTCCATGCACATGACACGTGGTGGGTACATTTTCATCCAAGGTTCCAATTAAATTACAAAACTAGTTTTCATCAACTTCTTCAAACTGAAATATCTTGGTGCTGATTTATCCGAATCGACTTTTTCTTGAGCTTAATAAACATAATTAATTACAAGCTATCCAACGAGTATAATATTGATATATTTATCATTACTCTATTAATGTTTATATATTTGACCCAATTAAAATTGAATTTATTGTATTTATCATTTCAGTCCCCTAACTTTCCAAATTTAAATTATAGTATCAAAGTAAATAAATTCTAGTATATGCGAATTTTCGGGACTCTACGTCCCTGGTCTATAACAGTTAATTTGTTCACATCCTTCCTTGGTCAGCATTTGTAGCAGTAGCAATGTACTGAAATCTCCATTAAAAAGAGTGCATAAATTGCTTTGAGATGTAAGCTGCGAAGAATGGTAGTCCTTGCTAAGTGGCTTGTACGAAGTTCGTTTACAGAAACTAACTTCGGCATCCTATATGCATAATGGCAATCCTCATCTTTGACCACCAAGTTCTCTGTTTTCCAATATGATTCTTATTACGTCATTGCAAGGTTCTCTTTTAGTTTTTTCTGCTAAAATCTCTAACTTCTTTTTCTTATTGATTCAATGCTTCTGTTGTAGCTTTGTTGGCAATCGTGAATTGTGTGGCCAGCAAACCCAAGAATGCAAGAAGAATGGCAGTGATTCTACAGCATCTTCCCAGCGTACTGGTTCTGGTAAATTATTTATTATGCATGGGAGATTGTTCATTTGCTGTCTTTTTTATTTCCAGTGGCTTATTAAGTCAAAAGTATGTTATGAGCTTCTGGAGCTTTCACTTGGTGATAGTATAAACAACCTACCTGGAAAGAGGCCCATCTTAGCGTATTGTATCAAACAACCATTCTTTAGTGTGCTACTCTCAAAGCAAACTAACCTATGTGTAATCCAGTATAATGCATATTATTGGATGAACATCCCTTCAACTTCACATTTCTTGTCAAGGGTCTTACCATCTTCATAATTGATTATAACACATATATCAGTGGTCATGCCTCATACCGAGATTTAGAGTTGCCTTTGTATATTGAATTGTCCCGTTTCATTTTATTTATAGAACTCTGGACTTCCTTTCAAAATGGGTTGCATCAATCCTTTGTGTATGTCAAACCATGACTCATTGATAGATCAAATCTAATCTAATCTTTTTGGTGAGTAGTCAATCAAGATTGTCTTATAGGAGATGAAGGAGATAAATCCTAGCACTCATGACGATAAAAAATATAGAGAGCTACACAAAATAGAGTTAAAAAAAATGCAACTATAAGTTCACAACAGTATCCTAGATGAGTATCACCCACATTTAATCTTAGAGTTTATGAAGATTGATATATCTTCTATTCTCCACAAGTATACAAAAAGAAATGAAATGATGCTCTTGAAATCCACTGTAGATGCTCAATATTTTCAAAATCTTGTTCACTCGATCATTCCTTTCCTTCCATGAGGTCTATATAGCTCAGAGGTGCCACCTTTCAAAATATTAAGAGTTTCGAAGCAAGCAAAAAAAAAATAATAATAATAATAAAATAAATTCCTATTTAAGCCAAATTATTTTTTATTTGTTTGTTGAGTCTAACTAGTCATAAAAAATATAAGAAAACCTTGCTTAAGATTTTTACTCGTGTAGCGATTTTGGAGGAAATAAAACTTTGGTTGTACCGTATCTTCGTACTTCCTTCTCTCTCCCCGATGGAACTCCCCTCCCTAACACCACACCCATCCCCGTAACCAACAAATGACCACCCAAACACCACCGACCATTGCCGACGCCGGCGACGGCAATATCGCGACATCCAGCAAACCCCTAAACACCGGCCCCACACCACATACAAAATCTCACAATCAAGTGGCGGCCCTAGGTGGAAACCCTAGCACCGCCGCAGCCCTAACTGGTGACACGACCTGCGGTAAAATATGTTGGATGGAGCAGTGACACTAGGCGACGGCAAAACTGGTGGAAGAAAAGGAACTATTGGCAGAGGGATGTACCGACCTAGAGTTTGAACCCAGATTTAGCAAGTTCTGGCTACAAACCTCGCGAACGTGCTTGACCGACGAGAGGTGTAGGTGATCCCGACAAGGGGGCCTTTGCTGGGAGGAGCACGCGTCGGCATCGAAAAATCAGGAAGATGGCCAGAATGTTTCCAGATCACTCACGTTTCTTCTGCCGTCAAATGTGGCGTTTACACACAATTAGGGGAGGAAGATTTTGGATGCATATGGCGTGGTTTTCAATCATCGTTTTCGAGTGGAGGAGAAGGAATTTGCAATTTCTGTTAACAATCTTGGTATTGTTAGGATGACTGAGTGGGGCTCGAAGATAACGAGCACAATCTGTATGGGAAGGTTCGGCGCACTTTGGATGGTGAATATGGTGGACAAGTTGAGGGTGACTAGTAGGTTGGAGGATTTCGTCTCTAGGCTCAATAAGTCATTGGCACAACGATGTGTGAACAGCCGTGGTAGGTACTAGATGATAGCATAGTATGGGGATAGGCGTCAGAAGGAAGTGATAATGCTGGAAGGTGCGAATGGAGAAGGATGGACATCGATCTCGCGGGTGTTTTAGGCAGTAGTTGATTTGTAATGCCCCGAATTCTCGGAACCAGAAGCATTAAAAATAATCATTTCTTTCTTTGATTTAACCCCTTTGATGTTAGTCAAAATATTTTATAAATTAGAAGGTTTTTTTTTTTGAAATATATAAAAACATAATGGGAGGTAGTTATTCATATAAACTTAGCCAATTATGGCAAAATTTAGTTTTGAAAAACATTTGCAGGCAATTCAGCAATTACGGATTTAACAACAGCGGAAGAAAAATATATTTGGCCTAGCAAATGTCTATTAAAAATCATGAAATTTTTACAGGGACTAAAGCATTTATATATGTACCACATATAAAAATTTGGGGTCTTGACGATAACGTTTGAAGCACGAAAATATTGCCCGAATATGCTGGACAGAAATTCGGATTCGACGCGACGCAGTTTACTAAAACGGGTAACTTTTTTTTAGAAAATATTTTTGAGAAATTCCAAAGGCCACTATTAGAGAACTCATAGACCTTTCAAAGCTCACTGATTTCACTTAAAAACATGCACTATAGCCCAAGTTATGCCATTTTCAAATAGGAGGCCAGAATTTGAAATTTTAACCTGCATAAATTAAACTTCATACATAGTCAATCCAACACTTCTAAATTCTAGTTAACATGTATTATCTATAAAACTAGACAAAATAAACATTTAAAAGCAATTAAAAAAAGTGTCATCTAAGTATCCATAAAATAATTACATAAATGGAAATTTTTACTAGAAGTTGAAAGCAATTCAGATCGTCGAACATTTGCCACTATGCCAACCACCGCCATGCTTCGATCTTAACCTGTAAAATTGTTTGTAGGGATGAGTTCTATAAATAATACTTAGTAGGAAGCACTTAAGTAAATTGTTTGATTGTGTCACCGTCAATTTCGAGCGAATTAGTAATCAGTCAGTCCGCTTACTTGTAGGTTTTGATAACCCCATTTCATTTATCATAATCATCTCTTCATATCTCGTGTAAACCACCAAACGATGATTCCATCATGAGTAACACCATAACAAGTTTAACGCAAACGAAAACATATAAATCTTACATCACTTACAAAAGCGCCGAAACACCCCTACCTTAATGCTTAGAGTTTGAATACCCTTTTGTGTCCAAAGAAATAAAATGTAGCGTACTTTTGGCATCCTCTTCAAAGAATTTTCAGATTCAAGGTACTTTAATTTATGGGAAAATTGGCAAAATAATTTTATGTGTATGCATAATAGTTTGGGAGAAAAATGTGGCTAAAGGAATTGAAATTTGGTTTTCAAAATAAGCCTATGATTTTTAAATTCTCATGGAATGAGTTTTCTCTTAAATCTCCATTGAAGTAGTATTGGTAATGCATTAAAAAAAAATATGGAGTTATAAAGATATGTAAGTGAGGGTTTTAAAACATGGACGTTGCAATTGAAAGTGGGGAGGTTATAGACTTTTCAATTACCTAAATGGCAGTTTACGGAATCAAAATGGCATGGGGCTAATTAACATTTTTCAAATACTAAATGAAATGGATTGGCAGTTAACAAACATAAAAAAAGGCACTTGGCAGTTAACAAAAGTGCGGTTAAACAATGATAGTGAACTGTTAATTAGGTGCATATGTGGGTATAAAAGTGTAGGTTGACATTTCAAGAAAACTGTGGCAGTTTACCAAATGGAAATCAAAGTGGTATTTGGAAAAATTAATGTTTATCAATAGCAATATAAAGGTGGGTCGGCAGTTGACTGAAATTGGGATTAAAAATGGCTAGTGATGAGGGTGGTTATGCACTTAGTGGGTGAGTGGCATATTTAAGTAGGGTGGCTAAGGAAAAAAATTTCAGCTTGATATGTGGAAAGAAATTTTTTTTTAACGGGGCTAAAAAAGGGGGTCATTGGAAGGACAAAATTATGTTTAAAAGTTGTTTGGCATAAATAATAAGTGTATAAAAACTTAAATTTTTAAGGACTTAATATAGGTAGGAAAGCAATTAATGTAAAGTGTCGTCAAAATAATGTAACAAATAAAAATTTGTTGTCTAAAAGAGATTTTAATCCCTTACAAATTTAAAAAAAGAAGAAGTACGCGACACTTTACTATCGTGACCAAAGCTTTAATTTGAACTCTTAAGGAAGGGTTGTATTGACGTAATAATATAACCCAAATTATATTCGAGTTATACGGGGAAGTTTTATCATAAAACGAAACAAAACATTTTTTTCTTGGTCACTACATGATTCATTTGTTGTTGGAGATAAAGCCAAACGTTGTATGGTGAACGAACGAAGTCGAGATGACCTATGCCGAAGTTACATCAAACATACAGGTCTCGCAAAATGTTGATCGAAGGGTGCTAATGAGAAAGGAAAAGGTAGTTATTGTGAGTGAAGATGAAGATAATCGTATGATGCCTAAGTCTAAGGCAACATATGCAGAAGGTTCAAATGACGGTTTATTGAGTATCACCGAAATAAGGGCTTGTGTCCAGTCGTTGAAAGGGGAGATGAATGAATTACTTAGGCTTTTAGGATGTGGGTCTGTAGTGGATCCCAAGCTGCTTTGTTACAAGTGTGGGATGGGCGTAGATGAAGAACGCTCGACTCCTGAAGATAAGGAGGATAATAACTCGGGGACTGAAGCGGATCGGGGGGTGGGACCTTGGCTTAACGAAGGGGAGCCGGATATGGTGAATTTGGAGTCGGAGACACTAGGAATGATGAACATGACGTTGTCAGCTGACGGATTATTATCAGTTGAGGTTGAGCAAGAGCAAGAGCAAGAGCAAGAGCAAGAGCAACAGACGGGACATGTACTGGCTGATGGATCAGTCTCTACAGTAGTGAAGAGAACAAGGCGACATGCTCGAGAACCATGGTGGGGAACACATATAATAGAAGGCATTCAAAGCCTCCAAAAGAGAAGAAATTAGAGATGGACAAAGCGATAGTGTTGTAGGTAGATGGTGCCAAGCAAGGAGGAACAAATAGTAATATCGAGCAGGTGGAGGAAGTAGAGGGATATCCACGTGATCCTTTGGAGTATCGTCATGTTGAGGAAACAAAGAAAGTGAATGCGATTGAAGTTGAGCCCCATCTTCAAATTGGGTCCTTCAAAAAATTCAGGATTTCAGTAGGTTGGTGTCATGCTATGAAAGTAGACTTCTGCAATTATTTGAGGAAATTGAGGTCACATCGTATACAATGCGGTAAATTAAGAAGAGAGGGTGATTGCGAACTTAAGCGGCTCGAATGGTCAGTAAATTATGATGCCAAGGATGTCGAATCAAAGAAAGGTTCGCTTGGGAGGGATGAGAGAGCGTCAAGATAATCCCAAAAATAATTAGTTGGAACGTGAGGGGGCTGAATGAAGCGGGGAAAATGTTAGGTGTTCGAAATCTGTCAAGGAAATGGAGGGTAGACCTTGTTTGCTTACAAGAAACTAAGTTGGAATTCATCTCGAGGGCGGTTGTTAACAGTTTATGGGGGGACAACATGTTGAGCATCAATATATGGGTTCATCGAGAGCTTCAGGAGGTGTGTTAGTCATATGAGACACTAGAGTTCTTGATATGGAAGTCAGTGAAGGGCTATTCTTCTTATCGCTTTTGTTCAGAAATATTGGGGATGGATTCCAGTGTAGAGGTGGATTGTGTGATGAGTTGGCTGGGATGATGGCCTGCTGGAACATTCCAACGTGCATTGGGGAGATTTTAATGTGGTTTGGTTTCTTACTAAGAGGTCTAGTGACTGAAGATTAACAGGGGCAATGAAGGATTCTTCAGATTTTATTAAGGAAAATATGTTGGTAGACATGCCTTTGATTGGAGGAGACATCACTTGGTCATTTAATCGGGATCAATCTGTTTGATCTCAAATAGATCACTTTTTGATTAGTGGGGAGTGGGAGGCTAAATATCCAAAGGTCACTCAGAGGAGATTGGGAATGTGAGGTGTAATGGAAGAAGGCCTTTTAGATTTGAGAAGATATGGCTAAAAGTAGAAGGCTTTGGGAGCAAGTACGGAATTGGTGGCATCTTATGAATTCAGGGTTTCCCAGTTATGTATTGGATTGGAAATTAAAGCCCTGAAGAGGGATCTAAAGTGGTGGAATGAGGAAGTGGTGGGAGATGTTAATTGGCGTAAAACTCAATGCATTCTAAAAATAGAAGAGCTGGATAGGCAGGAGAAGAGGGAGAGTAGAGTGTTAAGGGGAGAGATTGGTGGAAATGGAAGAGATTGCTCGGTGCCAGAAATCTAGGGTCACTTGGTTGAAAGAGAGGGACAAATACACCAAGTTTTTCCATAGAGTCGCTAATTTTAACAGGCGCAACAACTCTACACTTTGTAAGAGGTCGATGGGGCTACTTATGAGGACCCGTAGAATATTGGGAATTAAATGGTGAGATTCTATCAAAATCTCTATCGGGGATAGTTTGACTGGAGGCCAGAAGTGGATGGACTTGACTTTTCTACTATCACGGAAGAGGATGCCAATTGATTAGAGAGACCATTTGGGGAAGACGAAATCAAGGAAGTGGTTTTCAGCATGAATGATAAGGCACCGAGACTAGACGGTTTCTCGTTCGCATTTTATGAGGCGTGTTAGGAGATGGTGCGGTCGGACATTATAGATGTTCTTATTTTTTTCAGTACGACAAGTTTTGATAAGTTCTAATGCTACATTTATTGTGCTGATCCCCAAGAAATCGGGAGCAGTTGACATTAAGGATTTTCACCCTATTAGCTTAGTTAGCGCGACATACAAGATTATTGCGAAGATTCTGGCGAATAAATTGAAGGAGGTGATGGGGAAAGTGGTGACTAAGTCTCAGGATGCTTTTGTAAAAGGAAGGCAGATTTTGGTTCTGTACATATCCGAATGAATGCGTTGACTCTATATTACGTTTGGGGGTGTCAGAGATTGTATGCAAGCTCGATATTCAGAAGGCCTATGATCACGTGAACTAGGGGTTCCTTATGTATATGCTCATGAGATGTGACTTTGGGAAAAAGTGGTGTAAGTGGATTCAACTTTGTATTTCTACTGTTTCGTTCTCAGTCTTGGTTAACGGCACCCTGGAGGGTTATTTTCGAAGCAGCAGAGGTTTGAGGTAAGGGGATCCCTTATCTCCATTATTGTTTGTGATTGTTATGGAGACATTCAGTAGGATGCTTGAAAAAGCTGTGGGAGAAGGTTTGATAAGGGGTTTTACGGTTGGGCACTTACAGGTCTCCCATTTGCTATTTGCAGACGATACACTGATTCTATGCGATGCAGATAATGAGCAATTCAGGAACTTGGGTCGGCTACTTCAATGCTTTGAAGCGGTCTCAGGATTGAAGATTAATTTGGGGAAGTCTGAGGCTATTATAGTGGGAGAGGTTGCTAACGTGGATGAGTTGGCCGATATATTGGACTGTAGGGTTGCACAGTTGCCCATGTCATACCTTGGGCTTCCTTTAGGGTCAAGGTTTAAATGTAAGCATATTTGGAATTGTCGAAAGGGTAGAGAAGAGGTTAGCAGGGTGCAAGCGTATGTACCTTTCGAAGGGAGGCCGTCTTACCCTCATTAAATCCACACACTCTAATCTCCCAACTTATTTCTTATCACTGTTTCGCATTCCTGTTATAGTGGCAAACAGATTAGAGAGGATTTAAAGGGAGTTTCTTTGAGTAGGGTTAGGGGAAGAGAGGAATTTTCCTTTGGTTAATTGTGTGATTTGTTCTCCTGTAAGGATGGGGGCCTTGGATTGAGGAGCCTTGTTCTGTTTAACAAGGCTTTATTGGGTAAGTAGTTGTGACGATTTGGGGTGGAGAGGGAAAGTTTTTGGAGAGAAATCATAGTAGTGAAGAATGGTGTGATGGAAGGGGGTTGGTGCTCAATCGAGGGTCATGAATCTTATGGGGCAAGTATGTGGAAGTATATCCTACGAGGATGGAATGAATTTAGAGATAAATTGACTTATGTGGTGAGGAAGGGCAATGGTATCTAATTTTGGGATGATTGCTGGTGTGGAGATCATTCGCTAAAGGCACGGTTTCCTTCTTTGTACCACATTGCTTTGGAACTGTCCGCTATGGTGAATGATGTAATAGCCTTAATAATGGAAGTTACAGCTGGAATATTGCTTTTCAGAGGGGAATTATGCATTGTTTTTGACTTCCTTGCCTGAGGCGCATATTCAGGTACGAGAGGGTGATCATAGCAGGTGGAGGTTGGCACGGGATGGTATTTTTTCAGTTCGCTCTTATTTTAGATCCATATTCAGCTTGGTGGAGAGTTCATTTCCCTAGAAGACGGTGTGGCAATGTAAATTCCTCCACGGGTGACTTTCTTATTATGAACGGTTGTGAGGGGGTAGGCGTTAACGGTGGACAATCTTCAAAGAAAAGGCTTTTGTGTTACTGAGTGGTGTTATATGTGTAAGAGAGAGAGAGAGAAACGATTAACCATTTGTTCGTCCATTTTGATAGTGTTCGATGGCTGTGGTACGGTATTCTAGCTTCCCAACATTTGGATTGGGTGATGCCTAGGTGCATAGAAAATTGTTGCAGGTATGGAGGAGAAAATTTCAAGATTAGAAGGTTTGTGTGTAGTCTTATTCCGGGATGCATTGTACTCTGTGTGTGTGGAGAGAAAAACAACCGCTATTTTGAATACCAAACAAGAACAACAAAGCAAATTAGTTATATGACTTTGTATACTTGGTTTAAATGTTTAATGCCGCGGCCACTAATCATATAGAAAGGCTGCCTAACTTCATGTCTTTCCTTTCTTGTTTATTTTGATAATACACCCCCCATGTATTAACCTATTGATTAATAAAATTATATGATTATTTAGAAAAAAAAAATCAAAAATATAATTTTAAATGAGGTGAGAGCGAACCATATTTTGATTGTTATCAGCATTCATGTCATTGTTTTTGTCAGATAATTCTTGTCCCCAATAAGGTATGAAGCCTTTTGCAGGAGTATGTGGATCACGAATCCTTGAAATGGCAGTCATGAACCTTATCGTGGCTGTAACTTTGTGTGGCTTTATAGCATTAAACAAGCTTACAAATATGTTAGAGCTTAAGTTTAGTTGCTGTCGTTGGACCACAAGAGAAGCCAAAATTGATTTGAAATTTCTGCAGCTTGACTTCGAGGCTTGCCTGATGATGACTCTGGCTCATTAGATTACCTAATCTTTTGGCATCACGCATTTCTATATATTTGCAATTTCCACTAAGAAGTTGCAACTTTTACTATCTGTGTTAGTAGTTTATATGACTATCTGCTGCATGGATATTCCTAGTTGGTAGAACTTAATCTTTTGCTTTTTCTCTTATTATTTGTGGTGTTTTCAGCCCAAAACCAAGCCAGGAAGAAATATTCAGGCCGGCTTCTTATAAGTGCACTTGCCACTGTGGGTGCATTGCTTCTGGTGGCACTTATGTGTTTCTGGGGCTGTTATCTGTATAAGAGGCTTGGTAAAAATGATGGCAAAGCCCTTGGGGTGGACGTCACTGGGGGTACTTATCTAATAACAATACATGAGCAGTTAAATTTACGGTTCTGTCTGAGTTGGTCCAGACTGTTTTTTTTTTCTCAAAGAATTCAACCTTTCTCATTGTTTATTTATTCAGGAGCATCAATTGTGATGTTTCATGGAGACTTGCCGTACTCTTCAAAGGATGTCATTAAGAAACTTGAGACTTTGACAGAGGAACACATAATCGGTGCTGGGGGCTTCGGAACTGTCTACAAGCTTGCCATGGATGACGGCAATGTATTTGCCTTAAAAAGGATTATGAAGGTAAACAAGGACTTTGATCGTTGTTTTGAGAGGGAGCTTGAAATTCTCGGAAGCATCAAACATAGATACCTGGTAAATCTGCGAGGATATTGCAATTCCCCTACATCGAAACTTTTAATATATGATTTCTTATCAGGAGGCAGCCTTGATGAAGCTCTTCATGGTAAGATAATAATCTTTTCCTCTTCAATATTCTTAAAAGTTTATTTCTATACAAGTATCATAGACTGCATCTACTTGAAACTATTCTTGCCATTTTTAGGGTTGCTTTCACAAATTGCTGGTTACGAGCAACTCATATTTTCCCTATCGACGGGTATATTTACTTATAAAACTCTCACTTGTCTCTTATACAATATAGGTTCTATCTTCCATGTGGAGAGAACCGAGCAGCTAGATTGGGATGCTCGTATTAATATTATTGTCGGAGCTGCGAAAGGGCTTGCCTATCTGCATCATGATTGTTCCCCTCGAATTATCCACCGCGATATCAAGTCGAGCAACATTTTACTTGATGGAAATTTTGATGCTCGAGTGTCTGATTTTGGACTGGCTAAATTATTGGAGGATGAGGAATCTCACATCACGACGATTGTAGCTGGCACATTTGGATATCTGGCTCCTGGTAAGGATAATAAGTAATGTATAATTAAATCAGTTTCTCTTTTGTCACTTTGTTGTTGGAGTTATCATTTTAATTACAAGAATTTGAACTTTTTGTTTCTAATTTCTTGACCATTAAATTTATTTTATAGAGTATATGCAGAGTGGTAGAGCTACTGAAAAGACTGATGTCTATAGTTTTGGTGTTCTGGTGCTCGAGATAGTGAGTGGGAAACGGCCTACCGATGCATCCTTCATTGAGAAGGGACTAAACATTGTTGGATGGGTACTCCTTTCCCACTTTCTTTCTGTTCCCACTTTTTTGCGCACGTATTAGATGAAAGTGCTCATCTGTCAGTTCTAATTTAGCATTATTTAAATTCATGTCTAATGCTACACCTGGTTGGCTAAAATTTTATTTAGCACGAATGCTCAACTCCCGTATGATCAGTTGCACGATTTATCCTCACACGTGCTGAATTGCTGTTTTACTTTTCATTTTTGCAGTTGAATTATTTAGTTTCAGAAAACAGACAACGAGAAATAGTCGATCCAAACTGTGTAGCAGTTGAGACAGAGAGCCTTGATGCCCTGCTTTCAATTGCCATCCAATGTGTTTCTTCAGGTCCTGAGGATAGGCCAACCATGCACAGGGTGGTTCAAATACTTGAATCTGAGGTCATGACCCCATGCCCGAGTGACTTCTACGATTCCAACTCTGATTAGGGATTTTTCATCGAATGGTGAACGTTCGTAGTAGCTAGTATTATCATCTGTTTCGCATGGCAAAATGCTGAAGCAACACAAGCGCAGAAGGGGCTCAGAATCTGCATTAATTTATTTCAAACCATATTTATTCGTTCCTTTTGCAAATCGACAGAATTGGCCTGTGTTGCTTCGATTATTCTCCTCTAAATTAGAGCAAGTGGTTTGGCCTCATCAGGAATTAGGGGTTGCTTTGTCCCAGGTGTCCTCATCAGGTTTATCTTCTCCAAATATCTAAACTTTTGACCATTGTTCTCGTCTCTTTACTTGATCTTCCCTAATTGAAATTCATCTAAATCATTTTGTACGTGAATTGTAAAATTAATTGTGTCATCATAACCGAAGGATCCTTGTGATTGATTCCATTTTGTATAATATTTCGAGTGCAATAATTTTTTTCATAATTGACTGTAAACTTTCATTCACTTATAATGCAAGCATCTGCTTTAATTAAGGTAAATCTGTGTCTTTAGTTTGATTTCATGGCCATTTTCAAAATTTAAATTATTTCATCTCGAAATAACAATAAAGGAAAAGAAAGAAAAAGGGGTAAATGCTGTTCTCTAATTTTCACTGTAATTAAATAAAAAAGCTTAAAATTGGGACAAATGGTCGTGATCCTTATTCAATTAATTGGCTGTATCGTCTGTAAGTTTAGGCAAATTTTAACTGCACAAGAGCTTATTTCAATAGATGAAAATTCATTTGAAAAAAAAATAAAATGAAAAGAATTATCCATCTGGGTTCAAATTCGAGAGTAACACAATGCAGATTAATTTAAAATAGAACATAAAAACATTAAATTCGACTACAAAATACGGTAGAGAATTGTTACAAGAATGAATAGAAAGACGTATAAAATAATTTTTGAATCATAACGATATCTATGTAACGATATCTATGTTAAGCGATATTGTTGAGATATTATCATAATTAATATGCGACGGAATGGATATTGATGGCAAATATTTGTAACATAATGTTGATCTATTTAAAGTTGTTGAGGTAATGGATACATCATTAATATGAGAAAGCATTCGGAATTTACACAAGAAATTCTAGCATTAAGTAGAAATGCTTAAATCCGTTATTTTTATTAAACAAAGGTTCTTCAAACTTCTATGATAGTCTCAGGGGATAATGAAAGATTAAATAGATTTGCTGCATGTACAAAATTTACCTGCCAGAATCTTGGCAACAATCTGTTGAATAATAGCAAAAAAAAAAAAAAAAAAAAAAAAAAAATAAAAAAAAAAAAAAAAAAAAAAAAAAAAAAAAAAAAGATCGACGAACCGGCAGCATCCGGTGGAATTCTGCAAGAGGAATTGTTCAAGATCAAAATAGATCCCTAAAATAAAGGACAACTTACAAAAATACCTTTAAAATTAAGGGTCTTTTGAAAAATTATATGAAATTTTTTTTGAAAGTAAAAAATATTGTATAATATTAAAAAATAAAAAGTAACACAATGTCACTTTTTAAAAAGTAATATTTGTCACTAAAAAGTGATAACAATCAAGAATGTAATTGAATAAAAGTGACATATACTAAAAAAGCGACAAAAATTCAAAAAAGTGACTAATATGTGTTGGGGCTGCGCCACTTTACCGTATCAAGAGCTTGTTTGGTAGGACTTTTAATAATTGATTTTTTGACCATTAGAGATAAAGTGAATTCTATTTGTAAGAGAAGAATTTAAAAATGACGATTAAAATAGTGAAATAACGTTCAAAAAATTAATTTAAATTGACTTTTAATCCGTAACAAACAAACACTAAACACTGTCGAAGAAAAGTTAAAGATGCCAACTGTAATAATCAATTTTTTAGCATCAAGGCCGTACTTTGCCTAATTTTCGCTAAAATTAAGGCCCACTGCGTGGCTCTTTTAATGTTCTATCTAAGTGGGGCTTTAAATTATGAAAATACTAATTACATATTTGGTAAGATAAAATACTGAAAATTATTATTTGCAACTGTTGACACATAAAAAATTCAGCCCAAATCGAACAGCCCAAGGAGTAAAGTCCAATTGGAGGATCCCCAAATCGGATAGCCCAAAGAACGAAGTCCAATCGAACGAATCAAGGTGAAGGCCCAAATAAGGAGCCCAAGAATGCGGTAATGCCATCACCCAATTTTGCAAGTCGCCCAAAATCTGAACGAATAGAGTGTCATACGGTCGTCCAGAGTTGTTATTCTATTCTCGCCCAAACCTTCAAGTCGCCCAAGGTATCAACAAACATAACGCATCGTGGTTATCAAGAAATGCAGTTATCAAGGCAGTTGTTAAAGTAACCTTATCACGTTCCACGACTCAAGGAATTCAATCGAAAGCGGTTGAACGATGAAAGATAATGACAGCAGTTAAAAGGCAGTTTCATGACAAAATGGCCACTACAAAGAAAGTGGGTAGTTATAGGACGATCAAGCGGTTTTTAGAGTAGTTAATCATAAAGAGATCGTCTATGAGGTATAAAAGGAAGAAAGGACGTAGAAGCAAAAGACCGAATCCAAAACTCTCGAACAGAGAATATGTAATTTTCATTTCCTTAACTTTTAGACTTAAACGCTTTTCTTTCTGTAACTCGTGTGCTTGCGCCCCTTGGAGGCACGCTGTTTTTTCATTTCCAATTGTAAAGTTCATTTCTGTAATCGAGCGATATGAGGAGTAGCATGCCTCTCCACGAACAGATGGACAAAATCAGAGCAGTAACAGTCGTTACGAACCAATGACGGAGTTGAGTCCTCGAACCATGCGTGCATTGCTTGGAGAACTCACGCAAGACGTCGTCGAACAGGTAAATCTTCGAAGTATTCATAATATGGAAAGATTTACACAAAATGGAAATGCACACTATGACAATATGGCCAAACAGCTAAAGACGTTAAACGAAACAATGAATAAGTTAGTAGACCAAATATGTCAGTCGGCTATATCTCTTACAAACCACTTTCAAACCAGGACAATTGTGGGACATAATCCCTCTGTCCTAAATCCGAATCAAGGGGTAGAATCGCTTTCTGGTCCCTCTACTTCAAACTAAGGGGGTACTACAGTGCCAAATCAAAACAATGGTAGTAGCATGCCTAACTTGGGGGGTAATCTAAACGTGAGAGACAATGTCCTAAATAATGGACAGAATATTCCACGTGGTAATGAGGGAACAAATGTCCAGGCTAATGGTAATGGCCCTAATTATGGTAATTTTGTTGCCAATCAAGGACCAAACATCAGACTTCATGCAAATCAACCGGTTAATCAGCCTGTAGGAATTTCATATGATCCTAATGTCATGCTGAGGAACCAGATTATGAAAATCGTGCAGGATCAGATGGCTTTTGGAGTGCATCCTGTCATTAGGCCGACGTACACAAAACCATATCCTGATTGGGTAGACCAAGCATATCCATGGCCTAGAGGGTACAAAGTGCCAGAATTCTCACTGTTTACCGGTTTAGGAGAGGTGTCTACTCTAAAACACATAGGGCGATTCACGTTGCAAAGTGGTGATGTAACCGATTACCATAAAATGAGACTTTTTCCTAGTTCGTTAACAGGAGTAGCTTTCTCATGGTTCATCAACTTGCCAGCGAACTCTGTTCAAACATGGCAACAACTGGAACAGTTGTTTCACGCTCAGTTTTATAAAACTGAGTCTGAAGTCACTTTGGCTGATTTGGCAAATCTACGTCAAATGCCAAATGAATGGGCAGAAAGTTTTCTCCAAAGGTTCAAAACAGCAAGAAGCAAGTGTTTTGTACCTCTGCCCGAAAAAGAATTTGTCAAGATCGCACAAGGCTGTTTGAGCTTTGATTTAAAAAAGAAGTTCCAGGACAAGGAATTTCCTGACCTTTTCCAGTTGAGTGCGAATGTGATTAGGTATGAACGACTGATAAGAGAAGAAGAACAAATGAAAAATTCTAGTAAAGGGACTTATTACAGAGACCCAAATTTTGACGTTCATACCATCGACGACGAATCATACGATCAGGCCGAAATGTGTTTGGCCGAATTAGTAAAAGGAGATACATATACTTGTCCCATAATGGCCAAGCCTAGATCATCGGGCAAAGATGAGCCCATAAAGGATGGAAACATAAAGGCTAGAACGTTCTCGTTCGATGTGATCAAAGCTGACCTTATATTCGATAAATTATATAGGGATAAGCAAATAAAGTTGAGCAATAAACACAAATTGCCAAACCCTGAACAAATAAAGGGTAAAAAATATTGTAAGTGGCATAATGTATGGTCACATTTGACTAACAATTGCTTGGTTTTCCGTCACGTATTGCAGGATGCTATTGAATCAGGACGAATTACGTTCGATGATAAGAAAAAGATGGCAGTGGACGAGAATCCTTTCCCATAGCCACTTGGGGTAAACATGGTAACGTCTGGATTCAAGAACAAGTTGCCAAAATTCAAGTTGGTCATAGATGACGGAGAAGAGGATACTAAAATACATCCCAGTGTCTTCGAACGAATCAAAGGGAAAGAACCAAAAAAGGACGAAAACGTCCTGTGTGCAAGGTGTAAAAGGGAAGTAAATGGAGACACGGAGAAACCAGGGACATGGCAACATCCTCATCGCCCTGCCTTCTTCCCAAACATTCAGCCTGGTAGAGGGCGAGGTACATCATTCTATAGAGGACCACCTTTTGAAAGGCAGTTCAGACCATCAGATACTGGAAGAACATTTAGGCCGCAACCTCGCCGGCCAAATGTATGGCATTCATTCCAGTACAGTGCAGGAAGGGCAATACCCTTCGATGAGATGACTAGGACCCAACAAAGGCGTTTCCAACGAAACTACGGACGGATGATAAGGCAGCAACAAGGAATGCCACATCCCAAAGTGCCTCTGCTACTCAAGGTAGCCAATCAAAACGTCCTCAAAGGAAGTAAAGAGACTGGTACAGACGAATCAATGAAGGAACTGCTAGAAACCTCTTCTGGGAGATCAAGGTTTGAGAGGGACAAAAGGGATGAAGAAGATCCAGATCAGCCCCTTTCTATCCAATTCGGTACGTTGTCTCTTGTCGTGGCCAATAATTACCTACTGGCCAATGAATTCAAGAATAAGGAAGAAGAAGAAGAGAGGGAGGACAACGAAGGAGAAGCCTGCGTGCTGGTATGTGAAGAAGGCCAGACTTCTGGAGAGGCTTACAACGATGAAGAGGACGATGGGATGACAGATATTGAAGAAGAAATCGACCTAGAAGCAGAAAGGAAAAGGAGAGGAGTATCGCGCAATACTCTGTTTAAGCAACTACATCAAGAGGGAGTTCGCGAAGTAGACTTGTTGGGGGAGCCATCTGGGCATCCTTTCGATTTCTACGTACTGTATGGGACACCCAAAAGGAAGAAGAGAGTGCCTCGCTCTGAGAAGTATGGGTCACCTCCAAGAATAATGCCCCCT